AAAGCTTAGGGTGACAGGCTGACAGATCTCTCCCTACACCCCTTGAGCAGTGCAAAGCCTACACAATGGGACTTAAAAAAAAATTCTAAACATCTCAGACCGCGGGACTGGAGACACCTCAGCCTATATCTCAAAGCAGGTCTTTGCCTTTGAAGAGGTCACAGCCATCTTGGAGAATCTGAGGAATGTTAAGTCCTCACCCAGTAGGGAAACCAGTCCTTCTGCTGTCTAGAGGGTGATGACCCAAGAGTAGTTTTAGGACATGAGAATTCTACATGACACTGGGTGGGTCTGCTGGAGGCAGGACCCCAGGATACACAGACCAAAGCAACCAGCCTCTAACCCAGACAGCACAGCAATGGGAACAAGGTCACTCCAGATCCTGGGCCCTGATCTTCGCCGCCCCTGGGAAGCTGAGACACCTCACAGGAGCCTCTCTCCGCACAGCCTGTCCCGTGAACGTGCCCATGCTCAGTGCTCTCTGAGCCCTGAAGACACTATCCCATAGCCTCTCCTTATGACCGGGCACCTGGACCAAGCTGTGCCTTCCTGCACACGTGGAGAGGAGACACACAGCGTGCACACACATAAGCCCCTGAGCTGAAAGGCTCAAAAGGACACATCTATCTGCCCACTCTCACCCCTACATGGCCATGAATGGCGAGGTTCCCAGACACATGGAAGCTGCTTCCTTTTTATATGTGCATGTGAGTTCCTCGGTGTTTGAGTCCCTGTCAGTTGTATCCCATGAGCGGCCACCACCACCTGTCAGTGGAGGTCTGTGTGTTGCTGTGGTACGGTACTACTTGGAACAGCGAAATGACTCCTCAGAGGTGAGGATGGTGAGACTTCATCTCGCATCCTTTGGACATGATATCAGCAGGCCCCAGTCCCCAGAGAAAGACATTACACTTGGTAGAGGATCATTGAAAAGGAAGTTCTTCAAGGTGCTGGCTACAACAGTGGGCTCAAACATCAATTATGGTGGGGATGCAGCGGCACCGGAAGTGCCCCATTCAATAGCACCTAACAACATGATGTTGAACAGGTTTCAGTAGGCCATCCAGACCAAAACAAACTAGGAAGAAAGACCTGGTGATCTACTTCTAAAAAACAACAGATGAACAAGCAACAAGCGCTGGCGAGGTTGTGGAGAAACTGGAACCCTTATTCATAGTTGGTGGAAGTGTAAAATGGTGCAACCACTGTGGAAGGCAGTATGGCGTTTTCTCAAAGAGTTGCAAATAGAGATACCATTTGACCCAGCAATTCCACTACTGGGAATATACCCCAAAGAGACCATAACTGACATCCAAGCAGATATATACACACCCATGTTTTTTGCAGCTTTGTTCACAATAGCAAGGCATTGGAAATAATCTAAGTGCCCATCAACAAATAAATGGATAGAGAAGCTGTGGTATATTCACACAATGGAATACTATGATGCATTGAAAAACAAGGAACTCATGCAATATTATTCAAAATGGGTAACCCTGGAGGACATTATGCTGAGTGGAGTATTCCAGTCACAAAAGGACAAATACTGAATGGTGCCACTGTTGTAAAACAGGACTGACCTTGGGGTTTGGGGGAGACTGAGAAAGATGGGTTCAATAATGTATACTGCATTAAAATAGATGAGAGAGAAAACTGTTTAAGAGGGATATGTTATTAGGTATTTTTGTCATGACAGGAGTCCAGAGTGAAGGCTGCATAGTGGAGTGGACCTGGGGGGAGGGTTTGTAAAACAATGAAAGAATTTTTCTTTTCTTTTTCCAAGAGGGTAATGTACTAGAGGGGAGGCTTAGGAGGGGAGAAAAGTGCAACAATGAATGAATGGAAATCCAAAGTCTCTGTAAATTTTCATTGAAATTAATAATAAATTTAAAAATAAAAAAGAAAGCATGTAAATTTTCATTGAAATTAATAATTTAAAAAGAAAAAACAAAAACAAACAACAGATGAAAACTCTGCAGATCAAATGGTCCCCATTAGCTGTCCACTGTGGAGACGGTATAGAATGGGCAGTGGTCTGTTCTGTTGTTCATGGGGTCACCATGAGGTGAGGGGGGCACTCAAAGGTATCTAACAACAAAGTTTATTAACTGTGGCTACTGTAGCCATTTGCATAAGGGCCAAAAAGGGCTGGTGCCTTTTTGCTATACAGAGGAGTATGTGCCCCAGAACCCAAAGGTTTCCAAGTTAAACTAGGCAAAAAAAAAGACTAGAACCTCAAGGAGCTGGACTGGGGAGATACTGAGACCAAAGCAAATGAGATGGAGTTGAATCTCTCGGGTTGATCAAAAAGCTGAACCAGGCAGGAGCTCAGAGAGCGAGAGAAAGTGGTTAAGGCTGGGACCAGGACAAAAAACGGCTTGACGCCTCCAGAGACAAAGAGCACAGCTTCTGTGGAATGAGGACTGGAGAGATGCCCCATGTCCTAGGTCACCCACCTCCCAAGGTTGGGCTATGCGGATGAAGGGCTGAGCTGACACCCACCCCCATTAGCTTGGTCCCAGGCCACACAAATATGCATGAGCACACAGAGAGGCTTCCACCGCAGCAAGCCCACCAGAGGGGATGCTCAGCCTTCCCTCTCCACTGCATCATCACACAGCTGACTTCACCTGGACCCTCCCATCTCCACTCCATAGTCACACACCCAACATCACCTGGACCCTCCCATCTCTACATCTTCACACACCCAGCATCACCTGGACCCTCCCCTCTCCACTGCATTCTCACATACCTGACTTTACCTGGACCCTCCCATCTCCACCACATCTTCACATGCCCAACTTCACCTGGACTCTCCTCTCTCCACTCCATCCGCACACACCTGACTTCACCTGGACCCTCCCATCTCCACCACATCTTCACACACCCAGCATCACCTGGACCATCCCCTATCTACTACATCCTCACATACCTGATTTCACCTGGACCCTTCCCTCTCCACTGCATCCTCACACACCTGACTTCACCTGGACCCTCCCATCTCCACCGCATCCTCACATACCTCACTTTCCTCCATTCTCCACTACATCCTCACACACCTGGCTTCACTTGGATGCAATGGCTGCCAGGAGCAAACCGGTCACGCCCATCCCAAGGCCATAGTTCTGAAATGTCAGTGTAGCACAATCCCCCGCTGCCCTTGATGAACATTCAGATCCCTTCTCCAAACCTAGACTGGGATCCTGGCTCCGTGGTCTGGGGTCAGGACAGTTTGAGAAGCCAAATTGATTGCATTTTCTGTAGTGCTCACTCCATTTGAATAACGAAATACTGTGTGTGGAAAATTTCTGCCCCAAGCCCTAAAGATTTGTCTTGACCTGTTTCCCAAATAGCATTTGCTGTTGTTATATAAACATTTCACACTGTCCCCTTGATGAACCCAAGATGTAGAGTATCTGTGACTATGTCACTGTACTCTTAGTAGTATGTCAACAGCAGGATATTGTAGCCTGGACCCACATAGCCCAGCATCTACAAGAGAGTAAAGATATAAAAGCACCTAGCTGAAGCTGGGAGATGGAGGAATCCTGCTGTGTTGCCGGAACCCCCAGCTGCTCAGTGAATAAATGACCTCACTTATAATCCGGTGCCATATGTCTCTTAATCTGCTGGGCACAACACAAGTAATTCTGAGCTGGTGGTCCTCAGAGAAACTCTAGGTGGTCTGTCAGCTACACATTGGAGAAAATAATCATAACTATAGGAGCTGTGTTCACTGGTTATGAGCTGCTCTGTCCAAACCACCTCATTTCATCTTCTGACATCCTCTCAGCCCCAATGTTACATCACGGCTACTAGCAGAGGCATGGTTTGAAGTGTTCCTCATCCACCCTTGTCCCCAGACTCTTAGGGCTGGGACCAATCACAGGGATAGGATGAGGACCAGGACCAGCATCTGACTCCGCAGTAGGAAGGAGGAACCAAAAGGAGAAAGGAGGTTCAGGAAAGATGCTAGATAGGGTTGTGATGGGGATTAACACTCTTCTCCCCAGAGGCAGCCTGGAGGCTCATGTGTGAAGAGGGTGGATTCTGGAAAGTGGTTTCTGTGTCTTGGTGAGATTTGGATATGGAACTTTTGGTTGGGTTGGTTTGTTTGTTTGGGGCAGGTGTCTACAATCAAGTGTCATCTAATTGGACTAGCCAGATTTAGCTAACAATGAGCTGTGGGCTCATTAATTAACTTGGGGATGAACATTCTTTAAGTGGTACAGCGGTGCTCTATTTGCTGTACTTAAGTCACTTGGAGTTGCTTTGATGCTGAACGCTGTGCCACAGGGGTGTCAAACGCCCTAATGGTTACCCATGATGGACAGGGTCTGGTGGAGCTCCCAGATTGATTCTGGTTTGGAAGCATGAGTGGCATCCACTTCCTGAACCACATGGCTCTGGACACTCTATGAACATAGAGAAACAACGATAGTTAGAGAGCAGGGTTCAGGTCTTTGTTCATAGGGTAACTATGCGTCGTACTTGACAAGGCACTTAACAACAACGACCTCTCCCCGTAAGGATACAGCTTCGGGCCCATCCCAGAGGCTCCATCCCGGACCAGCTTCAGTGGTGAATTCCTGGGCGGCGCGCGCCCCCTGCAGCCAGACAGGAGCGCAGCCAGACAGGAGGCCCAGTCTTCAAAGCAAGGACGCAGCTCTGGCTAGATTTTCTCCTCTCACCCTGCAAGTGAGCCAGGCGGGCTACTGGGGATATTATTGTTGCTTCGCTTTAAGGACTGAGAGACATATTAAGCGACTTGCCCACAGAGCGCCATCTAGCCCTTCAAAGCCTTCCTCACAGGACCAGGTTCTCTGCACCCAAGACAAACGAGATACAACGCAGCAGCTTAGCTGAAGGAGGCAGGAAAGCGTGTTTAATGCGCATGCGGGGAGGTCCCACTCCTGCCAGGGTAGGGACACGGGCGGGCACAGCCCGGTCTCCATGAGGCTAAGGAGGTGAGGCTCTGGTGCAAGTGGTCCTGGAAAGTCTCAGAGTGAAGAGATGCGAACAATGCCGACCCTTGCTTGCTCGGGGGCCTCAGGCAGCAGGGGCAGCACCGGGCTGGCAGGGGGCTAAACACAAAGGGAGCTGGAGGCCACCCCAAGCCCTGCCCCTAACTCACAGCCCACCCTCAGAGGAGCAAGAAACTTCAGGTCCCAGCACAGCAAGGGGATAGCTGGGGCCACACAATGTAACCTCAAGGGGCTGTGGACGCCCCCATATACACTTCTAATGCCCCGCTTCCATATGCTCCCTAGATCGAACTTTAGAGCAAAACTTTCCCTTAAATAAAGGAATCATCTTTCCTGAAATTATAAACTGCTGCACTAGTCTTATCTCATGAAGAGCTAAGGAAACTGAGGTTCAGAGGAGGCCAGGGGATCCATAGTCCCTTTGTGTCTGTCTGGTCCGCCTAAACATCTGCACAGCCTGCAGATGCCAGCTACACACACACACACACACACACACACACACACACACATACACACACACACACATTTTCTCTCTCTCTCTTTCTCCTCTCTCCTCTCTCCTCTCTCCTCTCTCTCACCTCCTGAAGAGCCGAAGAAGACAAGCCATTCCCTGGGAGTCTTCTGCTTGCTGTGGAGACGTTTGAACTTTGGGGCTGGAGGTGAGGCTCAGGCTCAGGCATGGGCAGGGGACTAGGTGCAGAAGCGCAGTTTGGGTTGTGCAGGTTCTGCAGGAACACCCAGTTGCTCCCCACCACTCTCTGTAGACACACAGCTTTGGCCATATACCTGAGGACAACAGGCCAGGTGCAAGGGATTGTGGCTCTCCCTGGCCTGGGCCCCATGGTGCCCTGAGCGCGGGAGGGGGGGGGGTGCTAGAAGGAACCAAAGCCAGTCACATCCAGGCTGCATTGCTCCCATCCCCCACCCCCTACATTCCTTGGAGAAAAGGACCCAAAGAGACAAGAAGGAAGGTTCCAGGAAACTCCCCTATGTTCTGGACAAAACCCACAAAGGAGCCAAAAAAATATGCTGAGAGGCCAGGAGAGAGGAGCCAGCCTCACCTACCCCATCACCCCCAGGACCCTGGTTTGCAGACTCACTTGGGTCCCAGCGGTGCACAGAAGGATAAATACCAGTTGGTGGCGCAGCCCTGGTTGAAGGGGTTGTACCCATGCATGTATTGGCACTGTGGTGGAGACAGGGAGAGGGTCTCAGAGAAAGCAGGATTGAGTCGTTGGCTTTTTCTGAGCCATGATCCTAGCCCAGGACTGCAGCAAAACCTTGGGGGAATGACAGGAAGGGCCCCCAGGTGAGGCCTCCTCCTTCCCAGCTCCAGGGAAATCAGCCGCCACCCCACTCCTGAGCAGCTTTCTCCAGGTGAAGCTCACACTGCATCTATCGCTGCTGCTTCTCAGGGTCCCCTCACTAGAGATTTACTGTGTCCTCATGAAAACATGTTGAAGTTCTAACACCTCAACCCCTTATCTGTGAATGAGACTTTGTTTGGAAATAGGGTCTTTGAAGATGTTACCAATTAACATGCAGTTATACCAATATGTTGTTACTGTGTACCATCGAGTCAGACTCAACTCATAGCTGAGTCTCCAGTGGGCTTTCAGAAGCAGTAACTTGCACAGGAAGAGAATGCCCTCTATCTCCCTCAGGGCAGCTGGTGGATTCAAACCACATGCCTCTGGGTTGGCAGTGCAACTCCTTATCACCAAGTCACCAGAGCTCCCTAATCCAATATTAGTGGTGTCCTTATAAAAGAGACGAGACCTTATTCACTGTTGGTGGGAGTGTAAAATGGTGCAGCCACTATGGAAGGCTGTATGGCGCTCTCTCGGAGAGTTGCAAATAGATATATCACTTGACCCAGCAATTCCAATACTGGGAATATACCCTAAAGAAACCATAACTGCCACCCAGGCAGATATATGGACATTCATGTTTATTGCAGCTTTGTTCACAAATAGCAAAGAGTTGGAAACAACCTAAGTGTCCATCAACAAATGAATGGATAGAGAAGCTGTGGTATATTCACACAATGGAATACTACGTTGCATTGAAAAACAAGGAACTCATGAAATATTATTCAAAATGGGTGACCCTGGAGGACATTTTGCTGAGTGAAACATCTCAGTCACAAAAGGATAAATACTGCATAGTGCCACTGTTGTAGAATGGGACTGTATCAGGGTTGGGGGGAGACTGAGAAAAATTGGATAAATTGTGTATATAAATTATCTGCATTGAAACAGATGAGGGAGAGAACTGTTTAAAAGTGATATATGATTGGGTATTATGGTCATGGCAAGAGTCCAGAATGAAGGTTGCAGAGTAGAGTATACTCAGGGTGTGGGGGGTGTGGGGGGATTGTATACCAATGAAAGAATTTTTCTTTTCCTTTTCAAAGAGAAGAACAAACTGGGCAGGGGTGGGGGTTTGGACAGGGAGAAAAATGCAACAATGAATAAATGAAAATCCAAAATCTCTGTAAATGTTCATTAAAATTAGTAAAATTTTTAAAAAGTTTAGAAAAAGAGAAGAGACATGAGCAGGTAGAGAGAAGACAGCAGGTGATGACAGGTGAGCAAAGATGGAGGTACAAGTAAAAGATGTGGCTAAGTGAAGGGACCAGTTGGGGCTACCAAAGCTGGAAGAGACAAAAAGAGCTTACCCTAGAGCCTTAGAGGCAGCACTGCTGACACCCCAAATTTACTCCAGAACTGTCAGACAGTAAACTCCTGTTGTGTTCAGCCACCCAATTTGTAGGCTTTGTTCCAGGAGTCCTAGGGAAGTCTTCATCCTGTGTCCTCTTTTGCAGCCCACAGGCTCCCTGTCATTCCCACACGCCCCACATCCTCCTGATACCTCCTCCCAGATGACACACAGGGCACTTAAGACTATGAGTCTTAATTGACTCTTGGCACATAACAACAACAACGCTTGTACCAGCCATTATTCTTATGTTTCACAAAGAGTTGTCAATGTGGCCCTTTTTTACAAATAGGGAACCCGAGTAACCAGGCAGCTCAGTCGCATATCCATGATCTCTGCTAATAAGTTGTAGATCTGTGATCTGAACATATGTGCTGTGGCTCCAGAGTCCTGACTCTCAACAGCCTTTACATGAGAGAGAAGAGGTCAAGGGAGGAGGGAAGGGATGAAGGCTATGGTATGTCAAGAATGACTGAAATGGGAACTGCAGGTAGGAGAAGAGTCCTGCCTGGTGAATCAGGTCCCTTGAGGGTAGAAATCCTCTACTGGGTGCCCCGTTCTCTTCAGTGAAGGGAAGCCAGGCCTGTAGCCTGACCTGTCATTGGAAGAACCAGAGAATGTGGGAAGGGATCATGCTGCCCAGGAGAGGCTGAAGTGGGTGGAAATTGGAGAGAGAAGGGCAGGCAGACCACAGGGGGAAAGAGCTGAGTAAATAGTCCTGGGACCAGAGCAGGGTGTGGTAGTGACTGGTGACTGGAAAGAGAGGAGATGGGCTGAGAAGGCTCCTCTGTTCTTTCAGTGACTATCTCCTCTTCAATGCTGCCTAAATCAGCCTTTAGCAATGTCATTGCCCTCCCCAAACAAGCTTAAGGCAAAGACGTCCCCTCACACCACTCTCACTCAGCACTCTGCTGGAGGTCCAACACAGCGCCACACAGGAAAGTCTGCTGGCCTCTTGTTATTAGATGCCGTCAAGTTGAGTGAAATTCATAGTGATCCTATAAATAACAGACCTGAATCCTGTCCTGTCCTGTGCCATCCTCATCATCCCTGATACACTTGAGCCCATTGTAGCAGTCATTGTGTCAATACTTCACTGGGGGGGTCTTCCTCTCTTTTGTTGACCCTCTACCTTTCCAAACATGTTATCCCTTTCAAGGAATAGCCTTTCCTAGCAACATGTTCAAAGTATGAGAAATGAACCTTCACTATTCTCACTTCCAAGGAACACCTTTTCCAAGACATATCAGTTTGTTCAGCAGTTCATGGGATATTCAGTTCAAAGGCTTTAATTCTTCTGTCATCCGTATTCATTGTCCAGCTCTCAGAAGTATAACAAATGATTGAAAAGCTCATGAACTGAATCAGGCACACCTTAGTCTTCAAACCGACATCATTGCTCTTCAGTATTTTGGAGAGGTCCCTAACAATGGACTTGCCTAAAGCAATAGTATCTTTTGATCACCTGACAATAGGTACCAAGGGTGTTGATTATGGATACAAGTCAGATTAAATTATTTACAGTTTCAATCCTTTCTCCATCTATCATGATGTTGCTTATTGGCCCAGTGGTAAGGATCTTTGCTTTCTTTATGTTGAGATATAATCCATATTGAATGCTGAAGTCTTGTGGCCTAGTGGTAAGAACTGCACTGCAAGCCAAGGACAGTTCAAATCCACCACGGGAGAAAAATTGGCACTCCTTTCCAGTACGATTTACTGTCTCTGAAAACCCACTGGAGGCTCAGCTATGAGTCAGTTTCAATTCAATGATATATAACAACATACAGATTTGTCAAGGAAGTGACACTGTCCTTAAAACCAGACAACATTATCTCAATATTATCCATTACATGGGTAATTCCAAAGACTCAAACAAAAAAAAGCTATCAGAATAAGTGGCACTAGCAAGACTGTGGTAATCAAGATCAACATACAAAAACCCACTGAGAGGGAGCTCTGGTGGCCTAGTGGCAAGAAGCTGTGCTACAATTCCGAAGGCATGTGGTTCGAATCCATCAGATGCTCTGCTGAAGAAGAAGGGGCAATCTCAGTTGGATCTGATTCAACGGTACACAACAAAAAGGGGGGACAACAAAAACAAACAAAAATCCATTGGGTTGGGGTTTTTCCCCTAATAAATGGAATTTTATCTAAATAGTACTAAAACATGACATAGATGCAAATATAATAAAATATAAGCAATATTTATATACTAAAAACTATGTGAATGAGTTCTGGTCACTTAGAAGTAAGGGGCTGCCCTATCAAACCAAAGGCACATGGTTTGAATCAACCATTTGAGAGAAAGGATGAAGGATTAGGATGGACAATCTTCTCCCATATGATTTACTGCCTCTGAAAACCCACAGAAGCGTCAACTCTGGGTTGGTTCTGACTTGATGGTACACAACAACAACAACAGTAAAAATTATGTAACACTGCTGAGACAAATCCATGAAGACCTAACAAAATGAAGAAGTAGACAGTACTCATAGATCGAAAGCTTCAATACTATTCAAATGCCAGTTCTCCTCAAACGTTCAACTCAATACCAATGAAACACCCAGATTTTTAAATGAAAATTGGCAAGCCAATTCTACAATTTATATAGAAAAGCAAAGGAATGATACTAGCTAAAAGAACTTCTCTTTAGGGGAGAACAAAGTTGGAAAATTCCTATGAGTTGGTTTCAAGACTAACTGTATAAACACAGAATGATGGTGGTGAAAAAACAGAGTTCTCCCCACATTGTTGTCAGGTGCCTTTGAATCGACTTTTATAGCAACCCTATTGGCATAAATGAGTGAGCACATCCAGGGCTGCATCTACATTCTGAAGCACTACAATCAATATTCCATCCGTTCCTGCAGACTTAGTTTTTGCCAATCCCTTCAGTATACTTCTCACTTCTTCCAGTACCACTGGTTCTTGATTATGTGTTACTTCCTAAACCAGTTCAGCATGATCAAATTATTTTTGATATTATGTTACTATATTCCTTCCATCTTCTTTTGATGCTTTTGTACATATATATGTATTATCAATGGACTTTTTTTTCATAACCATGAAACAACAACTCAAAGAAGGAAAGACCGTTCAGCACACAGTGCTGGAACAATCTGTGTTGTTAGGCGCTCTCAAGTGACCCTATGAACTGTGCGGTTCTCACAAGCTCCATCACAGTGAAGCCCATTGTTGCAGCCACTGTGTCAGTTCAGCTCCCGAGGATCTTCCTCTCTTCTGCTAACCCTTTCTCTCTCTCTCAAACTAATGACTTCTTCCCAAGGACTGATGCCTCCTCACAAAGTGCCAAAGTATGCAAGACTAAGTTTCAGCATCTTTGCCTCTAAAAAAATACTGTGGTTGCACTTCTTCTAAGACAGATTTGTTTACTCTTTTGGCAGTTCATGGTGTATCCAATACTTTTTCTAACATCACAATTCAAAGGCACTGGGGTCTTTTTTTATGGTCCAACTTTAGATATAAGCAATTTTAAATTAGAATAGATGCACATTAGTCTTTAAAGTTATATCCTTGCTCATTAGTGTTGGCAAGATCCTTAACAGCATATTTTCTCAACATAACACACCTTTTGAATTTTTTTTTTTAAGACTTTGATTTATTTTGTGTGTGTATGTACTGTCCAATCGGATCTGACTGGTGCAGGAGGAGATTGACCCTCCTTCTCCAATGGAGCATCTGGTGGATTCAAACCACATACCTTCGGGATTGCAGCACAGCTTCTTGTCACTAGGCCATCAGAGCTCCATCATTTGATTTCTTATGCTGCTCTCATGGGATATTGATTGTGGATCCAAGTAAAACTAAATTGATGACAACTTCAATCTTTTCCCCACCAATCATGAAGTGAGATGAAACTTTACCATCCTTGCCTCTAAGGAGCACCCTGGTTTTGCATTCCCCAAGATATGTCTGTTCGTTGTTTTGGCAGTCCATGGAGTATTCAGTACTATTTACCAAGACCACAACTCGAGCGTGTTGATTCTTCTTCTGTCATCTTTATTCATTGTCCAGCTCCCAGATGCATAGCAGGTTATTGGAAAGATCATGACCTGGATAAGGTGCTCCTTCCTCTTTTAAAGTGGCATCCCCCAGACTTTCAAACTTCCCTGTTTGTAATTTGTGGCCACCACCAACAATGCATTCCTCTCTGCTCCTCCAAACCCATTAAATCACACATCCACCCCTATCTCTCCATTCCATCTAGGACCATGTGCTACACGACTCAGCACAGACCTCCCTCCCTCAGCGCTCACAGGCTGTAGTGTCTGGCGGATGGTATTTTGCTGTCAAGCTCCTCACCCACATGAGCGGAGGATGTAGCTTCAAGATACCAGACACGAGGCCAGCCTGGCACAAGGGGATTGTGCCACGGGAGGTGACACCACTGACCTCCAAGAGGAAGCTGATTCGAGCTGTAACTTAAATCTAGTGGAGGCCAGGCCGTCATCAGGAACGAGGAAACTGAGGAGGCCTGATCCAAGGTGTCTGATTTCTGGGGCCCAAGGTCCAGAGCCCACGTACCTTGCCCTCGTAGGAACGCTTGCCTGCGCTCACCGACATGGCCTGGATCAGCAGCAGCAGGCAGAGAGGCACCAGGAAGCCGGTGGTGGGCACAGCCACCAGGATGCTGCACGCAGGTTAAGGAGCGGTGACCACACTTGTTCCTGGCCACGCCTCCTCCTGAGACCTCGCCCCCTCCTCGTCTCACCCACTCAACTCTCCCCATCCACTGCCCAGGTAAACCTCGCCCCTCTGCTGCAGCCGCCTGTCCAGGTCCCCTCCCACCTTTCCACCTGCTTCTATGACCCTACTAGGTCCTAAACCCTTCATTGTTCTCATTTCTGTTCTCTCTCCTCAGCCTGACCCACCGCCAGGCCTTCCCTCAACCCAGATTGATCCCCCCAAGGTTCCTCTCCCCTGACTCCACCCACCTCCCACAATACCTCCCTCAGTCCCCTCCCACCCCCACAGCCTGTTTCTTGGGTCCAATGGGCCCGAATGGATACGTGATGGCCTTCTCAATGGAGAAGGGCAAGTGGATCATGCGCACCAGGTAGACCAGGCAGGTGGTCAGGACGGAAGCTGAGTAGAGGCACAGACACAGTATGAGCAGCATGAAGAGGCGGAAGTTGCGGTGACCTATGCAGTTATTGACCCACCTGCAGTGGTGGTCAAAGTCCTGGGGGAAGGGGGGAGAGGTCAGGCCTCAAGAACCAAGCGCTGAGTGATTCTGACTCAGTGACCCTAGAGGACAGAGCAGAACTGCCCCACAGGGTTCCCTGGCTGTAATCTTTAGGAAATCTTTCTCCCTCCGAGCAGCAGGTGGTTTGGAACTCCAGACATGTTAGTTAGAGGTGAACCACTATAACCACTGTACCCCAAGGCTTCTTGGCCCACGCCCCCCCCAAAAAAGTGTGAGGCCTTCTCTAGGCTCCTTTGTTGTTGCAAGGTGCCGTCCAGTTGACCATGGCTCATAAGGGCCCTAGGAACGGTAGATCTGAGCCTTGCCCACCTTGGGCCACCTTCATTATGTCATGCTCAAGCCCACCATGGTGGTCACTGTGTCATTCCACCTCTCTGAGGGTCTCCCTTTCATTTTCCAAGTTCCCTAGGTTACCTCAAACCTGCCCCGGGCCCTATTCACAGGTCCTCCCAACCCAGGGGCAAATAGCCACAGTCAGGAAGGCTGGTGTGTTTATGGGTCACAAGGTCAGCTGTAGGCAGGCACTGAAGGGACCAAGACTACCTCATCTTTTGGGAGGCTCTGCAAGGTGTAACTTGTTATTGTTGTTTGGTGCCATTGAGACAGAAATGACTCAGCTGAATCACAGAGGAGAAGACTGCCCATCTTTCTCTCATGAAGCAGCTGATAGATTTGAACCACATGCCTGCGTGTTGGCAGTGCATCTTCTTACCCACTAGGCCATCAGAGCTCCCTGGGTGATACTTCGGATAGAGCATAGCATCTCCTCAGGCCTCCATATTCTCATCCATGTAATAGTAACACCACTGCTCAGTAAGCTTCTTGAGATTTGAGAACCATGTTGGTTTTCTTTTCTATTGTGATTGTAACACAATAAATTTACACAAAGGTTGAGGGGGTTTTTTTCCCTCCCATTAATGCATATTTTCCTCACTCTCCTAAGAACCACTTTAGACAGTTTCTGTTGTTTTTGTTACTAGGTGCCATCAATTTGGGTACGACTCATAGCGACCCTATAAACAACAGAGCTGAACCCTGGCCTATCCTGTGCCAGTCTCAAAATATCTGACACAGTTGAGCCCATCACTCTGTCAATCTGTGTCCATCTGCTGTGTCACCGTGTCAATCTGTACACAGTGCATTTGTAAACATGTAGACTAGGACACAGGCAGGATAAGCATTCAGAATCCAGGAACTCATCCAGCCTGCTGTCCTAGAGATGCTCCTCAGGCCAGCCTGCAGCCAGCCCCACCCCTCACCCCAGGAGGCCCTTGGCCATCTACTGTCAGGCGGCTGGGAGCTGGACAGCAGCTGTGTCTTCTCCTGGCCTGATTCTCATGATGTTGTGACTCTGTACATATTGGCACCTGTGTGGGCAAAATCAGCCTCCAGAACAGGTACAGCTTGGCTCAGAGGCAGCTACCACCAGCTTGGGTTACCCAGACTGCCACTCTGGGCTTTTGGGTGAACGTTACTCCTGGTCCCGGCCAAGTACTGTGGGCACAGGTACATGGGGTGCTCACCTCCACACAGACGTTGCACCAGGGACAGTGGTAGGTCCGAGGCGGGCGGTGGAAGCAGCACTTTGGGCACCACTGCAGGCGGAAGGCCCTGCGGTTCACCCACACCACATGCACCATCATAGGGCCGTGATTGTCCGAGCCTGGAGCAAGGAGAGGACTACGGGGTAGTGTGAGATGCACTCTGGGCCCTTAGAGGCAGCCACACAGCCTCAGTGAGCACTGAAAGAGGTGGGGGAAGGTGAGCAAGGGGATGCTGGTCTCTACTGAGCACTCAGCTGAGCCCTCAGAGAGGCTGCCAAGCAAGGAGGTGGAACTCCAACCAGAGCAAGTCTAGAATTCTTAGCATTTGGGGTCTTGATTGCTGCTTTGGGGTGTGTACAGAGTAAAGGGAGAAGAGAACAGAGAGTAGCTGTATAGTACTGGACTTCTTCCTCAGCCTGCTTGTCTGCCCTCCACACCAAAGACGCTAAATAAGCCCCAGAATTTTCTTTGTATGCACCCCAGTGGCTTGGGAAATGAGATAAATGCCAGGAGCAGAGCTAGAAAATGAGGCTGTGGGGTGGAGAGCACTGAGCTCCAGGAAGGGATGTGGGAGGAGCTTGTTCCCAGTCATCCATGCCCAGTGCCAGCCCTTGGAACGTCCCCCTCCTCCCCCTCTTCGTCCCACCACTTCCTCCCAGGGGACCAAGACCTCACCTCGATGCAAGATGCCAGGATCTGAGAAGTTGAGTGAAATGAGACAGAAGAAGCTGAGGGCAAAGAGGACCCCCGTAACAACAGGAAAAGCCCACTCCCCGTGCTGGGCCAGCCACCTGCAACTGAAGCCAGAGCCTGACTCAGCCCTGACCTGGAGCCACCAGGAGCTCCTGGGGGCAGTATTCCTGGTCAAGACCCAGCAAGTATCCTCAGGCCTGCTCTGAGTACCCTGGCTGGTGACAGACCCACAGAAGCTCTGCCAGCTGTCACCAGCATCACAAGCTGCTGGCAGCTGCTCAGATGCACCAGGCCCACCACTGTGCCTTTGCACATTCTGTTCCCACTGCCCCAAACAGCTCCCTTCCTGGTTCCTTGACCCCCTCTTCTGTCTTGAATTTCTCCTATACTATGAAAAACTCTTCTGTCTTTCTAAAGGAAACTTCCATGAGAGGCTCACGGAAATGCGAAGAAGAGGCCGCTCAAAAGCACTAGCATCACCACATTGAAGGCAGCAAACAGACTGGGGAGGATCCAGGGAAGCGGGGCCTGTGGTGGGGGCATGGCATCCTTCAGGAGCGGCATGGCTGGGCCTCTGGAACTCCCAGAGGAAACCAGAGCCACGCCAGGGCTCCCTCCCCCTGACTGACTCCTGGAGCCTCATGGTCACTGCAGCTCCGAGCAGCCAACAGCTGAAGGAAGGAAGCTCCAGTGTGACATCACAGAAGCCAGGAGGCGGGGGTGGGGATCCACCGTCTACCCTGGCTGCTCTGAGGGACCACTACTTCCAACTGCAAGCCCACCCCTGCCTGCTATCTGCTGGGGCTGAGAGGCTCTGTCTCTGAGAGCAGCTTTGAGACCATAAGAAATTAGAGAAACACAGCAAGGAAGTAGGGAGTTCTGCTGGCCTAGTTGTAAGAGGCCACACTGCACTCCCAAAGATATGCAGTTCGAGGCTACCAGCTGCTCTACAGGCGAAGGATGAGCAATCACCTCCTGTGCGATTAACTGCCTCTGAAAACCCACTGGAGGGTCAGCTGTGGGTCAGTTCTGACTCTGTGGTACACAACAACAGTGCCAAGAAGCTGCACTGAAATCCCAAAGGCATGTAGTTTGAATCCACCAGCTGTTCGGTAGAAGAAGGATGGACCATCTCCTTCCCTGCAGTTTACTTACTGCTGCTGAAAACCCACTGGACTGTGGGTCAGATTCATCTAAACAGCACACAACAAGAAGAAAGTAAGTCAGTGATTCCAAGCACCTTATGAGGCCCATTGCTAACAAGCAAATCACACCCAATGCTCATTCCATTGCCATTTCCTCTTGTATTTTATTTTTTATTTAATTTAATTTTATTTTACTTTACTTTATTTTATTTTATTTATTATTTTGTGTGTGTGTTACTGTCAAATCAGATCTGACTGGTACAGAAGGAGATTGTCCCTCCTTCCCCAGCAGAGCATCTGGTGGATTTGAACTGCACACCTCTGGGATTACAGTACAGCTTCTTCATTTTTTCCTGCTATTACAAGAACCCAGTTGTGGACATGGGGGAGGGCAGCCAGCTGATCAGGTGAATCATTCCTACTTATTGCCAAGGTTGGCTCCATGACACAGTTCTGGCCAATGAGATGTAGTGGTTGTTTACTGAGGGTTTCTAGAAAAGTTTTAGCTTATTGAGAAAGGGGAGGCGGGAAAGACATTGGCTAGGGAATGCCACCTTGGCTTCATCAGGCAACGAGTCAGCATGCTAACCAGACAGAATTTGATGACAAATTTGAGTCGCTGTCCCAGCTTTGAACTGCCTGACTCAAGGCTACTTATCATGTGAGGAAACAACCATGTTTCCTGTAGAACATGCCACTGATGCATATCATTTTATTCTGCCACTGAACTTCTGAACTTCTTTGTATTAGCAGGTAAGAAATTGTACAGCCAAACCAAAGTAGTCAGTTCAAGTCCACCAGCCGCTCCATGGAAGGAAGATATGCAGTCTCTTCCTGTGTCATTAACAGCCTCTGAAAACCTGCTGGAGGGTCTGACTCAAACACCCAGAAGCTTACCCCACAACCTAGTGTGTCAAGCCCTCACAACCATTTTATAAGCCACCCAGGATCCTGTAAATTAACTCCATTTATGCTTAACCAAGCAGAACCCCAACAGAGAAATCATGTCTTGCCTCTCGGTGAAAGTTTCTGTTCATCTTCACTTTCCACATATGGAATGAAGGTGCCCCATCTCTGAACGTCTCTGTACCTTTCTTATGCTGTCCACCACATTATTAGAATAGAGTGTGTCGAAAGGCCCCAGCAGAGATGAGGGTGTGGTGATGGTGACTGAGCACAGGCTGAGTCCTAAAATGATGAGAAGGGCCGAAACGCTGCCGTTCCCTAGAGGGCGCCGTGGAGCCAGTGAAGTTCCAGCCGGGGAGAGCCCAACAGATGCACCTGACGGCTGTGCTCGCTAATCAGGGAGGTAGAATGCAGAGCATTATCTCCTTTGATTAGGGGAGACCACCCACCGGGGAGGTGCTCACAGGGCTGGCCAGGCCACTTCAGTACAGGTTGCCCCTCCTAATCCAAAAAGCAAAACATTCCTATAAAACTTTTTGTAAGCCAAAATGGCATGAAACAAAAATTACTATTAGCTTATATGGGAAATATTGTTTATCATTCCCAGACCTCAAAAATAATCTACCGAAGAACACATAAAACCCAAAATGACGCTAATACAGTGTTCACAGACACTGCTGGAGTGTGTGCTGACTCTAATGGTCAACACAAGACAAACACGGAACACTTGTTTAAGGGTTTGCCTTTTTCAGAGATAGAAATGGTTCTAGAATTTCTGGAGAAGGAACTGAAAAGAATGCTCATTAAATGCTTTCATTGGTTTGAGAAAAGTTAAAGGACATGACAAAATCCAGAAACTCTAATAAGTGGATGCAAGAAGTCTGGCCTGGGCCAGTGCCCTGCTGGTCTAATGGGAGTGTGGGGAGTCCAGCAGGATCGAGAGCTGGCTTGTCTGAGAAGGGACTGACGGGAGCAGAAGGGTCCTATATGTAGTACTAGGCCATGGATACCCCTTCTGTTGATGTAGCAGGGTGTCAAGGAGCAGGGAACTTAGCCGGAGGGAGTTTCTGCTCACCTCAGATGCTTAGGGCAGTTCACCAGACCAGGAGCAATGTCTCTTCAAGTCCAGGGGATGGTGCAGGCAGGGGACCCAGTCAGAGATGGCTTGATTTGCCAGCATGCGTAGGGAGAGAGCTCATAGGGCGCAGGGGAACTGATCTACACAGGAATCAGACTAGCTGGGAGGCTGTAGTTCACATGCTGCACTAGCTCAGACCCAGCAGGAGAAGCTAATGCATCGCTCCTTAAACAGGCAACATATACTTGACACTATGGCTCTATGGGGAGAAATGTGGCATCGGGATTGGAGGAAGACTCATCAACAGTCTGCTGTTATGCAAATGACACAACCCTGATTGCTGAAACTGAGGAGGACCTGAAGCGCTTGGTGCAGAAGGTCTAGGACTGCAGCCTTCAATATGGATTGAAGCTCAACATCAAGAAAACAAAGATTCTCACCACCTGGGTAGATTGGCAACATCATGATAGACAATGAAGAGATTGAAATTGTTAATAGCTTCAGTTTCCTTGGCCCCAAAATCAATACTGTTGGTACCAGTGGCCAGGAAATTAAAAGACAGATTGCATTGAGAAAATCTGCTGTCAGGGACCTTTCCAAAGTACTGAAGAGCAACGATGTCAGTCTAGAGACTAAGGTGAGCACGATTCAGGCCACGGTCTTTACAATTGCTTGCTATGTGTCAGAATGTTGAACAATGACTAGTGAGATAGAAGGAGAATTGATGTCTTTGAGTGGTGCCTAAGAAGAGTATTGAATATACCATGACTGCTAGGAGAACAAACACGTTTGTCCTAGAGAGGGTGAATGAAATCAGGCTGCTCCTTGGAGGCAAGGATTCTGAAGCTTCGTCTGACATACTCTGGGCATGTTGCAAGGAAGGACCAGTCCTTGTAGAAGGATGTTATGCTTGGGAGGGTAGAGAGACAGCACAGGAAAGGAAGCCCCTCGATGAGATGGATTGATTCAGTGACTGGGGTAATGCAGGTAGGCGTGTCAAAGACAATAAGATTGGCACAGGATAGAGCAGGGTTTAGGGATGTTGTACATAGGGTCACTATGAGTTGGAGTTGACTTGATGGCACATAACAACAACAAGCCTACAGGGGTGTTCTGCTAGAGAGAATAACTGACAGTTCTTTTAGATGCTGCTATTTTCTGAGTCTGGGACTCAAATTCAGATTCTGGTGGTCCAAATAATGCATAGTGTCACTTTATTTGAGGTCACAAAATTCTAATCTCAGTCGCCATTAAATCTCATTTGACATTTCCTGTATGTGTCTCAGATTCTGTTCCCAAATTTTTTCCTTGTAAGACACTAGTCATATGGGATTTAGAGGGGATCCTAACCCAGTGGGACCTCTTCTTAACTCAATATTTTAAAAGACTTTTTCCAAATAAGCTCACATTCACAAGTTTCAGGTGAACAAGGATTTTGGGACAACACTGTTTAACACGTTGCTTTTCCACTATAATAAATAATAATGGAATTAAGTCCTAGGGAAAAATGTTTTGCCTGTATCTATATTTCCTTAGGATAGGTTCCTAATGATTGTATTTAAGCTCAATGGATGTGAATAGTTAACACTTCTTTTGCAAAATGTTTTCCAGAAAGTATGTACACATTTGAATTCTTATTACGAGCATACTCATTGGTCCAGTGGTGAGGATTTTTGTTTTCTTGATGTTGAGATGTAATCCATAGGGAAGGCCATAGTCTTTGATCTTCTGTATTAAGTGCTTCAAGTCTTCTTCACTTTTAACAAGCTGATTTGCTCAGCATACAGAGTGGCCAGGAGAAAGGATTCAGTCTTTAATCACATCTTTCCTGGTTTTAAACTGTGCATGTGTCCTAGCCCTGCTCAGAAAACAGCTTCTTAATTTGGGTATAGTTTTTGTATGAGCATGATTGTTTTGGAATTCCTATTCATCTCAAATGCCTTTGTATAGTCAATAAAACACAAGTATACATCTCTATGGTATTCTTGGCTTTCAGTCAAGATCCATCTGACATCAGCAATGTTATCTATAGTTCTACAACCTCTTCTGAACCTGGCTTGCATTTCTAGAAGTTCCCTGTCAATATATTGTTTCAGCCATTTTTAAAGAATTTTCAGCAAGACTTTACTTGCACATTATTCAATAATTTTCACATTCTGTTGGATCACCTTCTTTTGGGAATGTGTCTATTTGTGTCTTATTGACTATACAAATACATTTGACTGTATGGATCACAGTGAATTATGGCTAACATTGAGAAAAATGGAATCTGAGAACATCTAATTGTGCTCATGTGAAACCTTTATCTAGACCAATAAGCTGTTATCTGAACAGGGCAAGGGAACACCACATGGTTTAAAATGAAGACATGGGTGTGACAGGGCTGTACCCTGTGTTTATATGTATTAATTCTATATTTTGAACAAATGATCTGA